AGCTGAAAATCCTACACCTTGCAGGCAACAGGAAGTCGACAGACACACTAGGCAGTATCCTGAGCATAGGAAACCTCAAAGCCCACCCCCACAGTAATGCACTTCCTCCAACAAGGCCAGACCTGCTCTAATAAAGCCACACCTCCAAATAGTACCAATCCCTATGAGACTATAGAAGCCAATTACTTTCAAACTACCAGTTGTCATTTCTAAAGAACATTATTTTCTGTATCCCAGGGCACTAGATTAACCAGAACTCTAAGAATCTGGGTACATGGTGGGAAGTCCATGCCAGGGATTGTATTGGATGACATGAAAAGCTAGGTGCTATCTGGAGATTACAACTTTGACCCCAGATCTGGGGAGGACAAAGAAGGATTCTGGCAAGGAAAGATTATACACATTAAGGGGAGGCAGGGGATAGGCAGCTAGATCTAGAAGAAACAGAAGCATCTCTACGGCGAGGGATGCATCCTTGAAAGAGGAAAGGACACATAGTGAGACCTACCCCAGGCTCTCCAAGGAAGACTAGAGCTGCTGCTGCTGAGGCCATGTTCTGCTGGAGAAAAAGGAGGTGATCAGAGAGTTCCCTAGAGGAGAGGGAGTCAGAGGTGAGCCTGGGGCTTTGCAAAGGCCAATGTAACTGGGAGAGAATAGAGTGAGGGCTGAGAAGACACGGATAACGTCATGAGGGAAGCAGACTATGCAGCCCCATAGCTCTGCGAGGGGGTGGCTGGTTCAGGACACTTGAGGCCAAGGCTCACGTCTACACCTCCTGGTGAAATAGCTGCATTCATCCCGCCTCTTCTTTCTCCCCTTCCTTCTTGTCCTCCTCCTTCTCTCCTTTGTCTCTGCCCTCCCCCGTTCTCTTTTTCTCAATTTCTCTCCTCCTCTCTTCTTTTTCTCTTTCCCTATTTACCATCTCCCTCTTTCACAACATTCATTTGGGAAAAGCCATTAATCTGACATTTGTTCCCTCTGACTTCCACAGAATCAGCATTTAAATTCATCTCTTGCACATTAAAGTGATTGTATTCCCTCAAATACATATAAATGGGAAAAAGAATTTTTTCCTTCACAGGGGTTTCTTTCACTATGTCTGATAGCTTATCTGTTCATGCATGTGTGTGCGTGTGCATGTGCGTGTGCGTGTGTGTGTGCGTGTGTGTGTGCGTGTGTGTGTGCCCCTAAGTTAATTTGTATGGCATTGCCAGACTTGCCTTAGGGCAGACTTAGTTTCTTTTCTCCCTTCTTCTTTCTCAACTCTGTTCTTAACAAGAGTATCTCACTCGAGAGATTTTCACTCTCTGCTCCGCCTCTGCACACCGACATGGGATGGTGAACATGAGGTTGGTCTGTGTTCAGAGGGTGCACTCATTGGCTCGTGTGTTGCCTCTACTGACCCTGCACAGTCACTTGACTCTTGACAACCTTTCAGTGGCCTCCTTCTCTCAGTTGTTAGTGTCGGTCCCTAACAAAGTACTGAAAGAAAAGGGCCTTAGGATGTGGAAAGCACTCTACAGTCAGAAATAAGGTCACGGCAGTGGCAGGGCAGGGGTGTCTGGGAACTGGCAGATGACACAGGACAGAGAAGACTAGGATTCCCTTAGTACCAAAGGTGGAAAGGAACTAGTAAAAGGAATCTATATACACTTTGACACAATTCCTGGGCCCAGCCTGGCATATGACAAAGTCACAGATATTTCCAAATCAGCGCCCTGTTTCCCTCAGAGGGGAACAGTTTCCTTTGCCGTTGCTGTCACAGTCAAGTGCAAATGTTAACAGCTCAAGTGCCCATGGAAGCTGAAATCACTCTCCAATCTGGGGAGAAGAATACCGCAAGTCAGAGGAGGCTAAGTTCAGCCTTGAGAATGTCGCAGACCTGGCATCTGACCTATCTGTCAACTTGAGTGACAGAGGCACCATTTTCTCATCTGTAACTGAGGACAATCAAGCCCACTTCTCAGGCCTTCCTTGAGGCTGCAGGCCCTTTAAGAATGTAGGGTCTCCATCAGTGTCCTGAGACCCCTCTCTTCACAGGCTCTAAGGCAAGACAGGCTTACAGATGTACTGAGTGCTGATTATTCAGAAATGAATAGAGCTTCAGAAGTATTAATGTGAGAAACATAATAAGTTCACCCTAGCCTTTTGTGCCCGAAGTTATATGCTTGGTCAAGAGGCAGCCCCAGGAGTGAACCACAGTGCGGGAGCAGAGGGGACTCACTGGGGTATTGCATTTGACGCTCTCCTTCCACATCTGAATGAGATTGTCTTCACAGGGCAACTCTGAGGATGCTCAGGTGGATAAATCCCTCGGAAGCTCCTCCCCTTACCATGGGAGTTATCTTAGTTAATAAAATCTGATCCTTCCACTACCCAGAATTTCCCTGGTCATGGTGATTATTTTAGGGTGATCTAATTAGCCTAGACCCCAGAATTCCTACTTTTATGTTGGTGGATACCCAGTTGCTAGACTTGACCTGTTGTCAATTGCTGTTGGATAATTTGAGGGAAACCAGGATAAATATGGCATCAACCCAAATGGGAGAAAAAGAGGATCCAAGAACCCAGGTCACTGCTGCCACACCTCCACAGTTCTGGAACTCCACTAAATGTAGGATCTTCATATTGCATTGGTTCCCAACCTGTGGGCCAGATATTAGATATCAGATATCCTGAAGATATTTACATTCCAATTCATAATGGTAGCAAAATTGCAGTTCCGAAGTAGCAATGAACAGGCTTTATCGTTGGAATAGTCACCACAACCTGAGGAACTGTGTTAAGAGTTTGCAGCATTAAGAAGATTGAGGACCACTGCACTAGGGACTCAGAATTCCATGTTCTTCATTGCTTATACATTTTAGTGGATTTCTATTTTCTGAAACTCAACATATCTTACATTTGATTCTGAGCACACAGAATCACCTGGACACAGGAACCATCTGGACTTCTGGCTCAGATGTTGTCTTTCCAGTGATGTCCAGGATATGTGATGTCCCAGGCATGCATTCCTGTCAGACTAATTTCTCTCTTGCTGAACTTTGGGTTTCATCAGATCCAGGTCTCAACATTTAAACTTCGACTTGGTAATATCAGTCATAGACCTCCCTCGTTCATTCATACCTTCATTCATCCACTCAGGGAATTTTTTTGAAATCTTCCTTATGTACCAGTGAGCACTAGAAATAGGCAGGAAAGCAAATCATAAATATCATCTCTAAGTAACATCCCAGAGTCATCTGTTCTTCCTGTGTCTAATGTATCCCATCTCTGTCAACCACATTGGTGTCTCATTGCTATGCAGATCTTTCCTCAAGTTCTCAAAATTTCATGAGAATCATGGCTTTCATTTGCCTGGAAGGCAAGAGATTCCAGATTTCAGAGTCCCTTCTTCAGGAAGTTTGTATGGAGTTGGGAAGGCAGTGGTGATACACAACATTGCTTTCAGATCTTGGCAGGACTGTATAATTAACTCCAGTTAAAAATGCATCTACTCGCTGAGCCCAGTGGTTTAGAAAAAGAGTTGGGAAGGTCCCATTTCCCACGTGAGTTTCTTAGTGACCCTCTATCTTTTATAAAAGAAGGCATTCAGCAATCTTAGAAGCTCAAAGATAATTATAGAATTCTAACCTTGGAGTCAAGGTTCTTGAGCATAGACATCAGAGACTGGAGGAGCAGGCAGAGACCCGGCAATCTAACATGCACGGAATTGTGGTTTTACAATGTGGCCAATGTCCAATCTGTCCAGTCCCTCTGCTTTACTTACAGGTAGCTGTCTGCAACTCTCTGTTAGCATTTCCTCAGCCCATCTAGTTGAACAGCTGCCTACCTATCTCTTTTCCACCTGTCTGATCTCAAAGGACATGGAAGCAAAGAGGCAAAGAGCAGCTCTGGCAAATAAGGACATTACATTTACTTTGTCCTAGGCCCTGTGCACATATTTATCTAACCCCCATGAGAGTCCTGTAGGATATTTCATCATCCCCATTTCAAAGTTATGCAAACTGAGGCACTAAAAATGGAAAATATCTTGGCTATGTAGGTTTTGGTAGGCTGTGGGTGCCTATAGTTTACAAAGTAGCAGTTGGTTTCATTTTGAGATCTGCGCGTGTGGACACTACTACATGTCCAATAACAACCATGAGAATAAATAAATTCAAGCAAGTAAACTGAAGTAGACAGGGAACACATGGTCACGTGGACATATTCAAGCTGTATCAGAAAAAAAGCAGGTCCAAGAACTTATCAAGCACACCAGACCAATGAAGGACACAACGCTCTCACCTGGACAACAGGAAATAAAAGATACATAACATTGTGATGGTGATGGCCCCACTGACCTGTCATCAGACTACTGGGTACATGCATCAAGGCGTAGATGGGCAAAGAGCTGCTAGTTGTCCTTGAGGTTCAATTCCGCATGATCCCCATTGCATGCTGTAGCCCATTCCAGCTGTCATGCATGCAGCTGTCAATCCATCAGTCAGCCCATTAGTGTGTACTGGTCCTGCACCTCCCCTCCATAGCTCTAGGAGTCGACACCTTCGCAGCTCAGCCCTCCTATCCTGCAACTCAACAGCTCTCCAGCAGGGTTGCTACTGTTTCATATAGCCACCTGCACTGATCCTCTGTGTATTTGGGTAACTGTGTGCCTCTGATTCTAGTAAGGCCTCTGAGAGCACGGCTGTGTGCTCTTTATCCCATTTGTAGCCATTTGGTAAGACAGACAGACAGATAGATAGACAGCTGGCTGGCTGGCTGGGTAGATGTGTAGATAGATAGAGATAATTAGTGTGTGAAGATGTAATACGTGATTTGGAAGTTAATACTAGTAATTAAGATTGGAATAGAGGAACCTGTGATTACTAATGGTCAGTTATCAAGGTAAATTAAGTTGGCAGCAAAGAAGAAGGAGGAAGAGGAGAAGGCTAGCACTCTTGATATAATTTATGAATTCACTGTTAATTCTGACACAAATGTTTTTGTTTCCAATGTAGTGGGCCTATGACAATTTTATTCTTAAAATCCCAAACAATACAAACAAGAGGAGCACGGTGGCAGGGCAGAGTGACAAGGACTCCAAATCCTTCCCGAAATGATTCTGAATTTATCAGATTCCCCGACTCCTGAAGTTCTTCTCTTCTTTCTACCGGGCTTAGAATCGGGTGCCACCAAGCAAATTCAAGGTACTCTTCTGTCTTCCATCTGATTAGATGTGTGTCTTGACACTTTGGGAAGAAGTCATATAGGAAAGAAAGAGAAGGGGTTGGATGTTATTTTGCCAACAGGGCGGTACACTATACTCTTAGAATTAAGGGGCCAGTACCAGCAAGGGAGGAGGGTGAGCCCCAGGAAGCTCAAAAATGCCATTTAGGGAAGATGGCTTCTCTAAACTCAGAGAAATCTTGAAGAACTGACATGGTCCTGTGGTTACTGAGCCCTTGGTATAGGTTTTCTGATGCTTCTCTCAGAAATCAGTTCCTCTGGTGACTGGATTTGGTCTTGGATTTCTTATAGTACCCACTTCAGAGTTTCTCATGAAGTAGAAGCACCTGGTGCTATTAGAGGTCTGTGGCAAATAAAAAATATTTTGAACTAATCTAGATGCCCTAACTTCCTTAAGCAAATCTAGGCGCCCCTATATCTGTGTAATTTTTAACTGGCTCACTGCACAATGGCACTAACTCTTTTATACATCACTCAGCCTTTCCTTTTATGACTTTACTGCCACAAAATCACACCCCAGCCCTGCAACCTTCTCCAAGGTAGAGTGGTGAGACCACACACTGCCATGCCTTGGTTTAAATTGTTTGTGCCTTACTTTTGATGGGAATTTCCTCGTGGCGTCTTTAATATAGAGTTAGATCCTTGTTGCCTGGAACATGGGCACTGTGTCATTTGGCTTAACTCTACTTGGTCAAACTCAATGAGCATCCTCAGTTTGTCTTTGTTTCCCATGAGAGGAATCCAGGCCATGCCTCCATCAGCCTTTCCCATCTTTCCTATTCATTTACACTCACTTATGTGTCTTTCCTAAGACTCATGATCTTCTCCTTCTTTCAATACCAGCAGATTCACTTCTTTTTTTTTATTAATTTTTTTTGTTTGCATTCTGATCACAGTTTCTACTCTCTCCTCTCTTCTAGCTTCCTTCCCCCACCTCCCTTCTAGTTCATCCACTCCTCCTCTGTCTCCATCCAGAAAAGCATAGGCCTTGCCTGGGAATCAACAAAGCATGGCTCATTGAGTGGAGGCAGGACCAAGCTCCTCCCCCTGCATCAAGATGGAGCAGGCAACACAGCCCAGGGAATATGTTCCCAAAAGCCAGCTCAAGCACCAGGCACGGGTCCTGACCCCACTGCTAGGGGCCCCACAAACAGACCAAGCGGACACAGGCAAAGCGGGTTCCATTTCTGACAGGGGTGGGGGCAGCCCACTCAACAGCCAGGTGGCCCAGGGGGAGTGTTGTTTCAGGGCCCTGAGCTCTGGGGTTGGAATTGCAGACAGGTGAAAGTGAATGTAGGAAGGCAATAAAAATAGACAATAGACAGCGGGTTCCCTCTTTACTGGTCCTATTAAAGTTACTTTAGTAAGCTCAGGAAACAACTCAAAGTAGGAGTGTGACAGGGACAGACACTATGTGGTTACAGTGTCTCAGGACGCAGCAGAGGCTGAAATAGCCCCTGTTTTCTGTTCCTTATTCTGAGGGGCTGAAATCTGATTCCACGACAAAGGTAGTTACCACCTCCCCATTCATGATTTTGTCTCATACCTCATGCATTCTTTGTTTTTTTCTTTCCCCGTGTTCTCTGCTTTCTTGTGTGGATCAAGGAGACAATCAAGGACACAGTTTTACATGTGTGCACGGCCCAGAGGCTTCAGAAAACCCAATCCCGACTATGAGGAGCAAAGTTCTCACGTGTCCTGGTTTCTGCTTCCCACAGCCGAACCTGAGCACAGAATCTCATAGAGGTGGGAGACCAGCTGCCAGATCTCAAAAGGTCCAAGGCACCTCTTCAAATCAAAAGCTCAGACAAGCACTCATTCCCCTCTTCTGAACATTTCTAGGGTACCCACTTCCTTCCCTACCTCATCTTTTCTGTTGATTGTCTTTATCCTGGTTTTTTTGTTGTTGTTGTTGTTCTTTTCTCTTCCTTCTCAGGACACAAGACAGAAATATTCTTAGAGACAGGTGATGTCATGCCCGACATCACCTCTTGACAGTATTCTGCATCTAAGAAGAAATATTGAGCATCCACAATTCCATTATGAAATTCACAGTAGGCTCCCAGCTGGACTCTCCTGCCCCTCTTTGTTCTTCGGAGTTCTGCATTCGCGGGTGGAGTTCATATTAATATTCCTGAATGAAAGCCGTCACTGAGGGGTTCTTCTAGGGTGGTTAAGACAGGTTAATGATTGTCCTGCCGCCATACGCGAGCATTTGCTGATGAACGTGGAACGGAGGGGAATGCAAGGCAATCAATGTTTTCCATTTTCCAGTGCATCCGTTCATCCCCTATCTCAATCTTCCAGTTGAACAGTCAATTCTCTGACATTCTGGTGGTTTTCTCGTTTCATTTTCTTGCTCTCTCGTTCATGCTGTATAGTGAAGTAATAAAACGCTGAGAGGGAAAAATTAATATAATGAACCACATACAAATGAATCAGGAGGGAGAAGCATGTGGCGGGAACATGCCCCAAGATAAAAATTTTGATGACACTGGGGGAAATTAGAAGCCCAAGTATGATTAGAAGCGAGAATGTAGACATTAGGCCTTCCAGCAGATATCAGTTATTTAATGAGTGGAAGAACGGGTTTCACATTGACCTGCATCAGCTGTCTTTCTTGTATACCCGTAAAGGCCAGTCACACAATCGTCAGTCACACTCAGTATTAGACGCTTGCTCACACACAAATGTCTAGAATAGGCGAAGAACCACGTGTAAGTTCTTCAGAATGGCTGGTGATCCACTGATCAGGGTCCCCTGGTTGTCTGCTGGCCTTGGCTTACACTCTCCAGTCACTGTGCCTATAGTGCGGCAGGAGGAGCTCAGCTGCAAAGGGCAGACGGCTGACCGTGGGGAAAGGTGGAGAACTGAGTCACTGTCGCAGTCAACCGTGTCCGGCAGAAGTTCAAGAGCAACTGCTGCAGCAGATGAATGAGCTTCCTGGGATTGTTTTATAAGATCACCAATGACCTTAATCATTTCTCCAAAGGTGCCATATTTTTATACCATTTATTTGGAAATTCAGTTCTAAAAGGTGAATTTTGGACAGAGGATGCAGGCTTTCGGCCACAGCAGAAGAAAGCTGTCACTTGTTTAGGAGGTGTTCTGTGCTCTTCTCAGGGATGTCTCTCTCTGTCCTTATCAGTCCTGGCTCGACGTCACTTCACAGAAGGCTGGTCCACTCTCCTTCCATTTCAATGGTGTGAGGCATGGCATTGGCTGTTGCCTCTAGGAAAAGTCTTCTGCTGACATCAGGGAACTTCCAGCTCAGCATTCGTTGTGAGCAAGAGGTCTCAGAAGGGTTCTTAGGAGCAATTGTTGAAGGACGGGATCTTTTCAGGATCATCCTGGAAGCCAAACCACCATTGTCTTTGGGAATTCAGCTCTGCCTGATTTTCACAAGGTCACCCCACAATGACTTGTTGATGGCTTTCATGCTCTCACAAAGAAGTGGGCAGGGTCATGGGACACTTCTCCGCACTGCCTGCTGTATGCAACTCTGCCCTAAATTGCTTGTAGCTTCAGAGAAGAGTTAGAGTACAGATGACATGGAAGACTAGGGGTGGGAGGACTTCAGCCATGCAGGTACGGGAAAGCTGTCATCCTTGCTGGGTACAGTTTCTGGTGTGGCCTTTTAGGAGGAGCACCCACTCTCCATGCATAACCGCTCACCTGTGCTCTGTAAGTGAGCCCAACCCTCTTACCAGTTCCTCGGAGTGAGCTGCATGGAATCATACCTCAGTTTGTCTTTGGGATCTGAGGCAGAGACGGGGTAGCTGCTGGTGCGGGAGAATTGTCTGTATTCTGTCCATCGTGTATTTTAATAAAACGCTGATTGGTCAGGCAGGAAGTATAGGTGGGTCAACCAGACAGGAAGTAGAGGCGAGACAATGAGAACAGGAATATTCTGGGAAGCAGGAAGCTCCCTCTGCCATTCCTGCGCAGACCACTGAAGAGGCAACATGTAAGCTGCCCCCCTCCCGCTGGAAAAGGTACTGAGCCATTATGGTTAACATAGATAATGATAATGGATTAATATAAGTTACAAGGACTAATAAGAAGCCTGACCTAATGGGCCAATCAGTTTATAACCTAATGTAGACTATGTGTTATTTTCTTTGGGAATTGCTGGTTGTGGGGTACTGGGAGGGACAGAAACCCCAACAAGCCGGCCCTCATGTTATAAGCTGCTGCTTATGTCTTTCCCTGGGAAGGAATTTTTAGCAACGGGGCTACAGGGAATGACATTTTCCTTAATTAGTGTTCTTATGCCTGGAAGAGGGAAGACAGAAGTGAACACAACAAGGAGCCCTTCTCACACCTGGAACATGTGGGCGAGACAAAGCCGGCAGGAGAAGAGAGAAAACAGCCATCAGGAAGATCCTGGCAAGATCATCAGTAAGGAGGGACAAGAAAATCATCTGGCTTCTCTCATGAGGGGAGTCACAGTCCCAGAGTCCAAATAAAAAAACCCACCTGTCCTCAGGATGGCCATTCATTTATTCACTCAGCACACGCATTATTATTAACCTTCTGGTGCCACACATGATTGTTCTAGATTCTTAAGTGAAAAACAGCAAAAACCTGGAAATAATCTCTGCTGTGTTAGGCTCACATCCTGCAGAAGGTTAGGTCAAACCAATCAAGAAACAAGGGACTTTTGATTTGAACCACAAATTTGACACAATCCAGAATCATCCAGGAAGAAGTTTTCAAGGAGAGACTGTCTCAGCCGGGTGAGCCTGAAGGCATGTCCTGTCTTGATTGTCGTGGTTGGCATGGGGGTCATCATATATGGCATGGGGGTCATCATGTATGGCATGGTTCCCTGGGTTTGGGTCCTGGGTTGTGGAAGAGTGGAGAAAGTGTCCTGAGCGCTAAACATGCGTGCATTCATTTCTCTCTGCTCTGGTCTGTGGATGTGATAGGGTTAGCTCTTGTAGATTCCTGCTGCCTGACTTCCAGGTTCTGAGGGGCTGTATCCTGGAACTGTGGGCCA